TGGATCAATGCGAACGAGGACGGTCATTTCTTGAAATCGACATCCAGCTCACCTACCAGACCGCTCGAATAATAGGTACTGGTGATTGATTATTCATTTGTGAACATGGAAATGGAATACGTTTCAGTGTTTTGGCCGTAAAATAAACCTAAACTGATTCCGATAGGTCGACTAATGCTTTCGCATTATCAATTCTTAATCCTGTTCAATTGCGTGTTTTAAGGTGCGTCATCTATGTGTGTGCAGCATCATCTTGTTGCTTTGCGTTTTCCGTTCGTCCGTTGTTATGAAGGCACCCACGAGCAAATAGAGTAAAATAATCGGGAATTGAACCCGGGTCTCGCCCATGACAGGCGCGGATACTCACCACTATACTACCGAGCAGATGGGGGCCTGGTTGGTGAATATTTCTTTGATTGGGAGTTGACCTTTCATAACGTTTCTGACTGTTTTCATGAACACATTTTCATGTAATTTCCATCTGTTCACATTCCTTGTAATTCCAGTATGGGTAGTCGCTGTAAGGACGCTTCAAAAAACCTTAAATTATGGAAAAGGCACCTAGTTCCACACGAAAATTTCCTCAAAAGGTTCCACATGACGGCGCGTTTCAGAGGTATGTTCTCCAGCAAGGTTTCCGAGCATTTTCAAAGTGTAATTAGACTCTTAGAAATCTTTCAGTCGTCCACCACAACACTTTTCACACTCGCAGCTCCGGTCACCTATCTGATGATCTGGCAGGTCACTATACACCCTACTATTTGAATTCGCAACGTCTGACGAAAATCGAAAATCGATCCGAAGATTCATTGATAATGTGGTTAATGGGCACTGAGCACTGGTCATGCTCAGATAAGCTACAGGTACTCGGAAAAGAAGAGAGCAGTGTCATGAGTGAACCGCGTTCACCTACACAAGTGAAGTCACAGCGGTGTTTCATCATACGTAACTACTCGAGCAAATATTAACGTGCCGACATCATCCCCTCACAACCTTGAATTCACCATCAGAAGTGAACTTCACTCCTATGAGAACCATTGTGGCATTTACCAGTGAGATTGGCTTTGCATCGTAATTTTCCTTTATTGTTCAGTGTTATCATAGCTCCAGGTCTTTGCCTGCCACTGTTTTATCACTCATTTGCTGCGTGCTGTTTCTTCGTCTCGGCGCCTATTCGAGGTGACTTTCTTTGCTGATACCAAATAGGCGAAGGAAAAAAGCAAGAAATGTTATGTTTGGCAGTTGCTCATCTTTGGAAATTGGCGGAATGCTCTTAAAGCCAATTGTTCCGATCTGGTTCGAGGTTTATTTGATAAGACGGTACGGGTTGTTGTATGAGTTAAGTTTTATATTCAAGGTTATGTTTTGAAAGGGAATTCAACGGTACAAGTGTGTGAAATAGTTTATCGGGTCACATGTCGACTATTCGTACGCGTGATATCCTGAGACAAATACGGAATAAGAAGCACGATAACGATGAGGTAGGTACTCATGTTTATTTCATTGAATGTTCATCTTTTAGAAATTACGTTAAATATTGGGTTTTTAATTCGGTGATTGCTTTCAGCAGCACTGAACATCAACAGCCTCGAATTTTGGTAGTTCAATTTAAATACTGTGTGCACGTGAAAAAACTCGTATTTAAGGACGATGAAGTGCTCGTGTTCGGATATGCATCACGACTGTACGAGAATGATACGAAGGCCGAGTGGATCGCAGAAGAACAGCATCTAATAGCGCATCCGGCCGACCCACATTTGCTTACTGACCGGTGAGTTATAGAATAAAACTTGGCGGGGTCGAACCCAGTGTTGACTCATTCTTTCTTGTGTGGTTATCGTTTGAAATAGATGATGAGCGTGGGACATCGTCAAGCGAAAATTAAAATGCAATAGCACTCATGAAGAACAATTATGGATGCATCTGACTGGAGTGGATTCGAGTCACAACGATGAGCGGGTAAGATTTAATGTGAATTCGTTTTTCAATAATTCTTAAATGGTAGCTTGAATTGCTAATGCTGACAGAGTGACATGACTAATGAATCATTTTAATCATTGCAATATTTGCGATAAATGAGTCATGTTTGGGAATGATCTGTTTGCGTGATGTGTGGATGCGTTTCGTTGTTAAGAGTATTATTGTTGTTACCAATAGGAATTGTATTCTGAAAAAACTGACCCAGTGGAACTGCTCATTTGTTTTGGGATAGCAAAGAATATACTGTTTAATCGAAGTTTAGTTTCCATAAAAATGTGGTGGTCAAATTTGCGTTGAAATTCAAAATCAGAGAGGATTTTCATAACTCTCGAGAGAAGGAGTAAGATTATATAATTTGATATCATATAAACTGGTGCACTGTACATTCTGGATTAAAACGTTCATTTTGCAAAAATAACCTGTATTTACCACTCATACGAGGATGGATATTAAAATGACTTCCAGTCGATTCGTGATTACTGTGAAGATAAGTTCAAGATAGGGAACTGTATACAGAAGGCATTCAGAGAATGTGTATAGAGGACGCCAAGAGTTTTATAGCTGTTCTGTTGGATGCAAATGGGAATCATCGTACTCAACTTCAGTTGCATAATGACGAAGTTCAAAATATTTCATACTGCACAGATTCATTGCATTTGTTCATTTACATATCATACACATAACGATAATCCCGTTTATATTCCGAAAGCATTATTATTTTTGCAGTAAGTAATACTCAATTTGTTAACAGAATCGTGAAGAGCTTTCATTGAAAACCTTGGAGCACTGTATGTAGATCATTCAGCAAAATATTCATATTCATTTTGTGACTGTTGATTGGTACTTCAACTGTTCATCAGCAATTTGATCATCTTCACGGCAGAAGTCTTTTGAATTGTGGACTTTGAAAGAGGGTTTCTTCCTCCATCTAGGAGATTCGTTGGATAAGAACAATGATCGCACCAACATTTGGAATCAAACGAAATTTTTCGGCGAGATTGGTTCAGTTACTCCATGGATATCAGTCCTATCGAACTGCTATAAAGAATTACTCGTTGTCATTTCGATGTTTACAAGTGGTCACTATTTCTCTTTGCCGTTATTGTCCATCTCCAGATTCATTTAAATTTCCCCTAATTGATTTTTTTTCAGATTGGGTGAAGATCTGCTCGTATATGTTAATATATAGTACTTGAAAGCGTAAGTTCAAAGCTAAAAGGATGTTGTTTTGATGCGTAAATTATAGAGGTGAAATTTTCACGGTTGGTTGATCAAACATGACCTAACTTAGTATGTATTGACACAGTGATTTCAACTTGTATATTCTATTGAATGGTTCATATATTGTGATAATCTATTTAATGATGTGCGAGTATGAAACTTTTCTCAATAATTTATGTGAATGTGAGTAATTGTTTCGTGGAAATGATTGATTGAATTAACAGTGAACTGGGACTGTATCAGTAAAATTGTGAAATTTATTCACTTCTATGTTTGAATTGCAATCAATCGTGAAAATAAATTAATCATATTATGATAAATTTTTATCATCCATTCGTTTTGCAGATACGATTGTCGACTTTATTTGGGATCTCTTGCGGAATTCAATGTTTTGGATGAGAATGGTGAAGGAGCGAGAAGCGACGATATTGGTGAGGATGTATCTTCATCGGACACAATAGATCGAGAGGAGGAGGCTTTGTGTGAGGAGGAGCGTTACAAGGATTTGTATGAAGATATACGTCGCACTCAAGGTTATCATTTTTATGCTAATATGTTAATTTGTAACGAATACAATTACTCCAATATCATTTCATTGATATAATACCAATAATTTTCCGACAGCTGTTTGCATATATTCATTGTACGGGAATAGAATATTTGTTATCTATATTACTCGATTGATGACGACTAAGATAAAGTTGAGTAAGTGAATGGCGTAATACAATGACAGAGTCGTATTCTATCACAAGCTCTTATTCGGGAATGGTGTTTACCATTCTTTAATCGTTTTTTTTGATGCTTTTCAAATGAAGAGACGTTACGCGTTGTTTATTATTTATAGAAGAAGAAGAAGAGAAGAATAAACGTCGTCGTGCTGAAATTGGCTTCAGTTATGACGAACGGTCGAAACAGGAAACCAGTAGTAGTAGTGAAGAGGAGATTGATGAGCCGTTTGTACGTCCTGATGACATCAAACTCCCTCTCGGAATGAATCTGGTTCGCTTCTTATCTCTTAAGCTTATCATTTTTAAGCACTACTGATGTCGCATTCGATTATTTACCCAATTTTTATCATTTTATTCCTCTCATATCTTGTTAGCAACTGATGGAGAATGTTCATGCATTAAAGGCTGTTAAAATTTCGGAGATGTCATTATTTCAGTACAATTAGAAAATGAAATTCGAGAGATGCGAGTTATCCTACTCAACGTAACGCTGATGGTGATATAAATATAATCGACTGTTTCAGCCAGAAACGATGAAGCAAAATGCCGTAATAGAACGTACAGCAACATTTGTTGTTGCTCAAGGTGCACAAATGGAAATTGTGATAAAAGCGAAACAACGCGGTAATCTTGATCAGGTACCAAAACTATCAGTCATTTCTATGTAGGGTTGGGTCGGCAAGCCAAGGGTTTCTACGATGTTTCTGGCCTCCCCGATTCTACTTTAACTTTCAAAGCCCTGGAGTCCAATCCGTCTTCCCAGCCAAACTCAAATTCTAAGTGCCTTCAGTTCATCTACACCAAGTCACTCCCAGTCAACTGTATTTTCGAGTATTTCACACTGTTCATTTCTTGTTAAATAAATTTTGAATGAACTTCTTCACATTGTCAGTGAAGTTTTCTAGCTAAATAATAGATTTTAATCTGTAGCTGCAACAATTACATATGATAGAGATTTTGTATAAATTTGAAATATTTCAGTTTGGTTTCCTGGAATTCGATCACCCGTTGAATGCATATTACAAGTATATTTCAAAAATGATTCGTGAAAAGAAATATGTTCCAAAGCCACACATACCTCAAAGAAGACCTAAATTGAAGAAGTTGCGGAGATTGGAGGAGGAGGCGGAGAGGAAGAAAAAGTGCATGGGAAGTGATACTGAAAAACAAGGTATGTGCATTGCAGTGCTTTAACAGTGTATTGTTTTCGGTGAACGTATTTGAGTGGGATTGATGTTGATGAAGGGACTATTAACATAAAGATGACTCGTGATGTTTACAGCATACAATATTAGTTCTGCCACTGTTATTATCACTGTTCTACGAAAAGACGATTACTGAATGCGTTTAATGAGTATCGCTTTCAGGAACATGCTGCAATGTGGAAACAGATTCTGAGTCAGATTCAGACTCAGGTGATCATTATTTACATCCACTTTTGATGGGTGGTGCGAGTGCATCAAATCTTAAAGAAGGTAGTAGTTCAGCAGTTATTATCGGACCGAAAACGAGGGAAGAACTTCAGAAAACTGCTACGCCTTCACCTCCACCACAAGTGAAGATCGATTATGAAATTGGAAAGGTGCTTTATGATTCACTTCATTTTGTTTTTATTCATTTTGCCGAATTCAAAAATTAATTGCAATTAGTTCTAATTCGTATTGAATTTTATACTGCAACAACTTGATTATACAACTGTTTAAATTTCCAATTCGACTTGATTTAATCAAGAACCTTCTGCGACGAATAAATACCTTTCAGGGTAACGACGTTTATTCATCACTGTTCAACAACCTTTCTGGTATTGTTCATTCACAGTCCACTCCACTCCTTTCCAGGCAATCCAATCAGCAGGCCAAAAGGTTTATTCATTTTCATTTTTTCAGATGTGAGTGGAACAGTACCAATTTCATTTGATTGTATTGTCAGGTAATTTGTAGTGCGTATCTGAATCAATTGATCGCACGTCAATGCTTTTTCATCTGACGATGATAATGATAAACATACTTTTTGAAGGAATGAGAACATGGATGTAGAGGATGAGTATGTGAAATGGCATATAAGTTTCTATGGAAAACCACCTCGAGTTTTAAAACAACCGTCAATGGTACCTCCACCACCTGATATGACTGCAGCTGTGAATATGGCTGCTGAATACGCAGCAAAATATGGATGTCAAGGAGAATATATATTAGTCGGTCTGTTTCATTTATTTCTCACTTAGGTCATCAAATTTTTTCAAATTGTTACTCTTGTTGTTATATTCATTGTAATATCATTTTTACTGAATCATTCATTAGTTACATTTTTAAATTCATTCGATTATTAATTGCCATTCGATGCTTTAATGAACACCTCTGATGTTTTTTCACATTTGTTTTCTTTTTAAAGATGACTCGTAATAGGTTACTGAATGATATTGAATTTCTCTCACTGAATTCCTATCGCAGTCTGTTTTCCCACATTATTTGTTGTTAACGTATTTTTTTAAACAATTTATCTTCGTTACAGAACGTGCTGATTTGGCATGGGAATTTTTGAGACCTTTGAACCCTTATTATCCGTATTATCAATCGAGAGTGCGTTTTTATCAAGCTGAACTGGATCGGCAAAGAGCCCTTTTAGAGGTTTGTAATGTCTTTTTCTTTTTTCATTCTAAAGATCGTGTTTAGCAAGGGATATTTATTATTAAATGCTATTCCTTTGTGAATGAATTGCTGCTAGATAGTTCAAAATCAAACAATCCCTCACGTTGCTTTGGTGCAATTGACGAGGTTTCATCAGATTCTGATTGCTGTCTGGCATTGACACATACAGCATAGAGTATGAGTTGCAATTCTGTTATGAACGTGAAATTGCGATGCATTCGTCTGCTTGTATTGAGATGACGACAAATTAGTGCACGCATTTGAACGCTTATTTTGGCTCGAAATTGAGAACACTAATAGAATGCGCAGTGTTTCATGCGTTCTTCGACAAAGTATCAAGTTATCTGTTTTTTCTTAGGCGGTTTCGTAAGCATTCTTGGAAATTAAGAAAACTTCAGGCCGAGCAAGCCGTTTTGTCATCCACCGTAGCAGAAACGAATGGGAATGAAACAGCAAGCAATCAAGCATTAACGAATAACGAACAAAATATTTGTGGTAAGTTTTGAGTAGATGATATGATCACGCATCTGTAACACTACCTTCAGTATAGTTTACTGCCGTGCAGCTCAACATAGAGAAATGTGTTTGTAATATTTATTATTTATCGTTAGATAAATATTAACAAACAAATCAGCAGTCAGTAAATGACCAAAATGATCGATTAACAGCTTTGAGCATCTCTTCATTCGTCAGCGTTACCAAGCCGCCTTTTCAAATAAACTTCAGTTATCTATTCCATTATCTATGGCCCACAATCTCATCCTTAAACCACAGCTGAACGCTGCTCAGTTGTGCACTCTCTTATTTCGATCATTTCGACTATAGCTGAACATTCTTGGGCTGTGAATACGGCCGCCTTCCGAAGGAACTTCACTCGAATGAATTCTCCTTACGCTAACTTCGCATTTCAAGCGCTTCGTTTTCGCAATCATTCTTACCGCGCTGAAACTTTATCAAAGAGATCAGTCTTTACCAGATCATTCATATGATCTGTAGAGTATCCCTCGTGCAAGGTGGTGATACATCTGTTATTACCAGTCACCTTACGGGCATTGTTGAAATGTTTCATAGTACGACATTTCAACTTCACCTGATTTTAGATGAAGTGAATGAGCAAGAGAGTACCAAGAACAAATCGAACGCATTAAATGATAACCCTGCAAAGGGCGACGTTGATAAAAACAGCTCAGCAAAAGAAGAGCTTGATGATGATGTGAATGAAATCGGAGTTAATGCTTCAGTGGAAGAAACTAGTACATCACCCGTTTTTATGAATCGCAAAATGAGGCGGAAAGAAATTCAAGGATCAGCTGCAGCATTACGTACTAAACCGCCATCATCTCCACAAAACGAACAGCCAATTACTCAACCAACTGATAGTTCCCAATCGGTTTGTTATTTCTTGATGGTATCGATTAGGTTCTATTTGTATTCATGGTAATTTGATAGCAGTATGTATTTTGAAACGGCCATTCGAAAATTTGCGGGTGTTTCAATGGTCAAATGTACATATGTAGTTGTTGTAACAAAGATACCTTTTGCCTTCTCAACCATACCGAACAATTGTTGATGGGATGGGAGGAGAGGCAGTCCAGTCCTAATGAGTATATTTTTTCGCTTTGTTATTGTGTAACTTTCCAGTTTATTGCGTACTCACATTTTTATTGAAGAGGGAACGAGAGGTTATGATCACATTCGAATGGCTTTTAACATAGTCTGGTAATGAACTGTTCTTTAGTATGTGGTTAAGTTGCAGATGACAAAAGTGCATTCTTCTCCAGCATTGTTTGTTCATGAAAATGGCAACAGTACAAATGCATCGACAAGCAATCTAACCAAGAAACCTCTCGCTCCAATCTCATTCTCACTATCATTGCCGAAAGCCGATGAGCAAAGGTCTTCACGTACCAGGTAAAACAACTCATCCTTATTGCATATTTCACTTCAATCATGTTCGTATCTTACCTGCGGTCTATTATTCTTGAAATGCAGATGGATGAAAATGAAAAATGCATCGAATGCTTTGCGTTTAAATTCTCAATCAAAAACTAGCGGGAACATTAGCACATCGATAGCGAAATGGTTGTGAGCGCGACTTTGGTAAGAAGGTTGTGAGTTCGATGAATGCCCGATGAAAAGAACTGACGAAATGAACTCACCTAATCGGAATGCTTCAGTGACCTGTAATGATGAATGATAATTGATTGAAGTTTGTAATTGAATGGATATCGATTTTCATGAATTATGTGGTCATGATGCAGATAAAGATTAGTCAGCAGGATTATGATTATGAGAGATGAGGGCATCATCATTTATTCATTCAGCATCTCTTGATCCTTCATTCTTTTACAATAAGGCCCTCTCGAAGGCTCCTTAAAAAGTAAAAGATTCGAAGCCTCCATTCGAGAAAATCTGGTATTATGCAGTTCGAATGTGATTCAAAAATTTCACCTTGATATGATGTGAATTTGTTTTCCAATCAAATTTTAGTGCCGCTATTCTTGGTGCGTACGATGATGACGATAACAATAATAATAATGTTAATAGTGAAGCTAATAATATTAATGAGGTTGCTGAATCAACCGTCAAAGGACTTGATGTTCCAGCTGGAGTGGTCACTAATGTTGGTTTATTTTTACTTTTTCGAAAATGTCTGAAATATGTGAAAAATAACCTAATGTAATTGTACTACACGTTATATCTTAACAAAATGATCAGTTCCCTCAAAGTAATCACTTTGGTTTATGAAAATTATTGATTATTATTCTTATTGTGAATACCATTGTAAATATTATCTTTGTTATTTTTGAAATGGCCTACTTCTATCGATTATCTATTTGGTTAAAGAGTGGAAAGTTGAATAATCATGTGAATTTTATTTTATATTTGTGAATAAAGCGAATTGTAATTGCAAATTATAATTTCTGATCATTTGATAGATTCCTCCACCAGGGTTGGCAATCCCACCTCCACCTGTAGCACCAATTCCGTTGGCGTCCGGTCAACTTGCACTTGAGGGTTCTGCTGAATTGCAGTTGGAACGGAAGCAAAGAGTGAGTTGTCGTTTGATTAATTTTCTGATTATTGCGTCATTGTTTTAATAAGACAGCTATTACCTTCACTGATCATCTACCTGTGTTTTTTCGATATCCTGCGCCCTTTCTCATAGTATTTTAGACATACATTCAAGGCGCTCAGTAGTGAGAATACATGATTCAATTCAGCGGGGGCGATATTTTCCACTAGTGGACAAAAATGGAGTGCAGATAGGCGAATCTGGGGAAAAAGACGTTACGTGGGTGAATTCGGATCCCACTAGGCGATTTTGGGTTTTATTGCTTGGTGCATACCGGTAAATGCTCACTACCTTAACAACCCTCCGATGTAACATTCTTGGCTGAATTTTTTGATGGGATGTTTCTTAGCGATCATGAATCATTTGTTCCCTCTGCAAGTGAAATATGTGTTGGTCATGTCGTTTCCATCGCACTGCTGCCCATACTTAACAATAGATAATTTTGGCCGTGTAAACCAGGAAGATAGATGGGGAAGGAAAGGTGGGCGCTTTTGCTGCTCTCTTATCCCGATTGTGTGGTTTGCCAGAGAAGATTGACAACTGCAGTATAATTTGTTCGAAGAATATTGTTACCCGTGTCATTGGAGATAAAATTATCATTTTCATCATCTTAAGTCATACTCATTTGGATGTAGTGATAGTTATTTTGAGCATGTGTCCCTAAAAATCATTAGACAGTATAAGAAAGTAGCCCTACACCTCTATGCTTGCCAAATCGGTGATCGAAATCAGATTCTCATGTATCGGATTCCCGTACGCTAATGTCGTTATCTGCTCTGAAAGAAAATGTCAAGGAAGAAGGTTGTGACATCAGTGATAATAGACAGGCATGAACTTAAAATTGGTTGCAATTGCTGATTAAGTAAATAAATAAATGGTCATTTTCATCTGATAGAACGTTCACACATGCGCAACTTTGGCTAATTGAAGGCATTTATCTGTACGGTATTTGTTGTATGCATCATCTTGGGATAGCCAAAGAAATATTACTGTATTTATCACTGTATTTGTTCGTTTCGGATTTATTTTACCTGATTGACACTTCTGGCCTAATGGCGGATTTAATAATTGCAGTAATAGTCGTTTGTTATGTTCGGTGTCTTATGTTTTTCACAATTTGAGGCGCGTCTTTTCATGGAGAAGATATTGAATGAGAAAAGAGCAGCGAAGTTGCGAATGCAGAACGAAGAAAATCAAAGAAAAAGTGAGGAAACGGTAAGAGAAAATTTAGTGATCATTCAAAATCGTACAAAAAAAACTTCAAATTCTCACCGATGATGGTGAATCAGTCGAGACAGTTAATTTTCGTTGATTTCTGCGTGAATGTTTGTTATATAGCAAATAATTTATTCAGAATAAGTTGAGGAATATCTGTTTAAAGATTTCAGTAATTCAAATGAACACATTGAAGCAGAATGAGGAATGATTGAGTATTGGATTCAGTTTAGTTATGCACTAAATTGCAGTATTAATGAATTATCTAGTGTGTCATTGCTGGATGTTTAACGATTCGCGTATATCCTCATTTCTTCCATGTACATACAGTAGTTCAGTGATTCTGTCAATGCAGCGATTATTTTATATGTCTGTTGCTGTTCAGCCATCTTCGAATATCCAAAGAAATCCATCAGTGTCAAAGCATTCGTCTGACGAAAAGACTATGAATACGGGTGGTGATATCGATCGAGTGATGAGTCATGAAGTTGAAAGACTCATTAAAAAGACGTCAAAAAGGGAGTACGTTTTTGATCTCATCATTTTCGTTTCACTGAATCTTTTTCACAGTGTTGATTTGATTGACTAATCTGTTTCTGTTTTCTTTATTTGATGAGAAAATAGATTTCATTTTCTCGTCCATCTGAAATCATTTATTTATTGTTTGTAATGATGTTAAGCTGAATTTTTTAGGGGTAATAATCATGAGAGTGAAGAAGAATCAAGAAGGAATAAGAAGAAAAAGAAGAGAAGTAAAAAAAGATATCACGACTCAAGCAGTGATGACGGTCGGGTATCATCTGACCAAGAAACTGATAAGAAACGACGGCGACATCGCAGGAGGTTTTCTACTTGTAATATTAGTATCTTAGTTATTTAAACTGAGTGGTGTACCAAATCATACCCTGGCTCTGGTTCGACAACATCAATGGTATTGATACACCACTCAATTACGAATAAAACTTTCCGTAGCGAATGGAAAGAAAGTTTTGCTCAAAACTGAGTAGTGGACCAATAGCATGGATCATAATTATTATTGATAATACTTTTTATTCGCTTTAGCACATTATTATTCGTTTTGTTTTTAAGAAAATTATCATCATTATTGTTAGTTTTTGAAACTTTGCAGTTGGTATTGTTTGTTACGGAGGCATTTGAATTGCTAACTTTGATATGTTTCACATCAGATTTTTATTACAGTCACTGAAAAACTTGTTGAGCTTAAAATTGTTGTCGTTTCTATGAACATCATTCATTAACTTTCATTTTATTAATTGTTTCAGTCTTGAATCTTTGTGAATATTCAATTGATTTCATTGTTGTAGATCATCATCATCAGAAGGCCATGCTCGCAGATCAAAAAAGAAATCTTCATCACATCGATTATCGACCGAGGATGACCGATCTAGAAGGTTTGTATCTGTGAACAGTTCTCCAAAAAAATTAAAGTTGTCATTTAACTGTACTTTTCATTTGCATTTCCAAAATTCTTATCTACTCGTGGATTGTAACATGTACATGTTGTCTCATCACATTCGGATGCATCCTGGTAAAATGTGCCGTTTTCTCTTTGTGATCCAATCCTTTGCGATTAATTGATTCGTTCATTTAATTCGTTTGACAGATTCGAAACGTTAAGTATTTACAAGAAGTCGCAATAAATTGTAATTGTATCAATCTGATATCAACAATCAAATAATATTCACAGTTTCAGGAAACACCGAGCTACATCGCACAGACATCATAAATGATTGATTATTGTTTGTCTTATTCAGTGGTGTATGCTATTGGAGGGAACAGTGAATAAAACCCTATTTCCCTCCCCAAATGTTGATTAGTTTCATCGCCACTTTCGTACTTTCCACAGTCAACGCAAAATGCACATTCCTTCCATCTGATTTTCATATCTCATTCTCCCAGAAGAATATCCTGTATGTATATACCGCTGATTATGTTGTATGGTTTGTTTTTACGTTGATAAAGGTATTCATATTTTATCTCACCGGTTTCCCCAGTTTTTTCATTTCTTTTACGTTTCTACTAAATGTACTTTTTTTGTTTTTGGCAATGTTTGTTTTTGTTAGTCACCTTTCATAAACCTTATGTCGGGAAAGACGGTTTTATTTTGGATTTATTGAAAAGAAACATCAGTTTAGTGGGGTATTTGAAGCAATAACAGTGTATGCGATTATTAGGTAAAACTAGATTCGTTGATGCTTGTCCAGAATTACTTAATATACGATCGTTTCAACTGATAATTCTTGTCCGAAAAATATCATTGAGATGAAGAGTCACAAATTATGTGTTATCCATCAAAAGAGAAGATTGCTTTTGTTAGATACGTCAACAAGTAATGAGTAGTTGAGATATGAGTGAATGACGATCTTCGAACGTATTTCCATGCCATCAGTTGTTCAGTAAAGCATTCGAAACATCAGTTTATCGAAAGGTAAATGGAAGTGTTGAATGAATATTGCTTAGTTGAACATGGTAAAGGTGTAAAGTGTGACGTTATTGTTGTTGTTTTGAGTTGTAATTTGACGAGGGCAGTTATTCGATAGCAAATTGGACGGATAAAACAGTCGATTCAGCTGTTCATTATTACGTTTCGAGGTGGTGTAAATCTGTGGCCAGCAGGTCACTCGATAGTCGCTATTGTGATAAGTTACAACCGTTTTTATTGGTAGAATTGTAGTGTACGCAAGTGTTGTCTACAATGTGCATTTGGTACGCTTTATTTGTCGATCTTCTAACTTTTATTGTTACGAGCATCTTCGAAATAATGCCCTCGTTCCAGTTTGTACACGCACCACTTGAGTTTTCGTTCTCCTTTGAAGGCACCTGTTCAATACTTTCGGATGAAATCTGATAAGCACGCAAACGTTTTACTGATGCTCCCACTATTTCACGTTACCCTTGTCCTTGTTTTGCCTATTCCTTAATCCGATTTCCAGCTCATAAGGTTTTTTTTCCTTCGTTTTCCTCTTTCATCTATTCTCAGCTCTCATTCCTCGAGGCTATTTTTGAGCAGCCTTGAATCATTCATGATGCGGAATCTTTGTTTCATCTTTATTTTACGTTCACTCGCGTGAATTATCAATTGTAAATGCGAAATTATTCGTTGTCAACACTCTGTATATGAATAAAATCGCAAGTGATTAGATTGCTACATTCATGTATCTCGGATACGTATTTGATTGAAAGTATTACAACTGAACTGCAATCAGAAGTATCCAAAACAAGATTACCAGAGATATCGAAAAACGATAGCGCGTTATCGCTACTCAGCTATCGAAAAAATGTCAGCTGAAAAAAGGCGCTTTCGATATTATCTCCGAAGCGGTAGTGAAGCGTTATCGTTACTCGCTTTGCAACAGCACCGTTTATTTACGTGGAAAAAACTTCATTACACCACTAAATGATTGAAAATTTTTATTTAAGAAAGAATAATGTTAAAATTTCGATTATAATGATAAAATTTTCATTATTTAACAAGAATGATGCTAAAATTTCGATATGATAAAAATTTTCCAAAATTTTTCAAATCGTTTGCAATACACTTAACCTTTCCTGCCCAGTTGCCAGCAAGCTTTTCGGAAGCATTTCTCGGTCACAATTGTACTCACAGAAATATGCAAAAAATACTGCTTAATATGGAGAACGAGAAGCTAACGTATATTGTGCAGCGATATATAAAGAGGGCATATGACAACGCAAACTCCTTCGTCCAATCGCATATGATCACTAACAAAATAATCGTGGATGATAATTTCATCCAATTTTGAAAAGATTAGTTATCAGATAAAAAATAAAGCAATCGGTATAGATGGAATTTCGCAGTATAGGATAAGTAATCTCTGATGGGTTGATTTTAACAACATTACGAGGGACCCAACGACAATGAGGCGAGAATAACAACCTATTCTCTCAGTTTTCGAACATATGATAGTTACATACTTCCAATGCATCTGATGCCAATTGTTATGTGTGGACAAAAAATGTGAAAGAAAAAACGATTTTTCGGAATGGTGTCCAATGCAAAATTGTCAGATTGCATTTGAAATGGCGATCAAATTGTAGTTGATCACTTATTCAAGCAATCTGATCAATACGAACTTCAGTTCATGTACTCATTCAGAATCCAACAACAGGAACACCTGATTTGGATGGTGAAACGTACACTGTTGATGTAATATTTGTAGTTGTGAACGCTACTTCCACCAAATATCTGTTGACATTGCTTTATCAACTTCATTTTTTCAGCATTCATCGAGCCTTATCACCTTCACAGAACATCACTTTCTACCTTATCATCATCTTCATTTTCATGAATCACATCGGACTGTAATCATTTACTGTTACTTTTGAACGTTCTTATTTTCAAATTACTACAGATCATCTAATTTCAGCTATAGCTTGAACGCTGCAAATGAATGCTACGAATGTTTATCATTTGAAACTTCTGTTTTACACGGTCACGATTATCCTTAATAGATTGGATACGAATTTATATTCAACAATAACCGAAATTGGAGTGATAATGATTTATGTTATTATAGAATGATTTCATGATCGAAAAGTGGTTATTTGAAAAGATCTAAAAGATTCTATGAAATTAATCATTCATCTTTTGTGCAAAATCAGCTTTTCAAAAGCCTCTTGAAGTGAGCGTTTTGTCGAATTCCTTGAGCCAAGCAAGCAGTATTACTTCGTATTAGTTGACAATATGCGAAGTGGATGTGTAATTATTTACTGTGCAAACAGCAATAAATGTTCTCAATGATCCACTTATTGGTTTATTTCTAATGAATATTATTTTCAAATGATTCGATATTCCAATCACAATTCAGTACATCTTCTCATCACTCACATTTTTCATCATATTATTGCTCAGCTGTTCACATCTTTGTTTCATTGTTGATTCCGGAAAAGAAGATCGCAATTAGTCGCAGACGTCGAAGGAGATGACTGCAACTGAACAATGTTTTTCTTTTTAGGTTTACCGCTTTCATTTCAATTTTTCACTTCATAGCAAAGACAACAGTGAAGGTACACACCGAAAA